TTGTGAGTCTGAGGCTAGATTGACTCCAGGCCTAGAGCTCTATTCACTGCACCACCTAGCTGCCCCTTTTACTTAACTTATTAACTCCTTTTTCCTTCTTATTTAGTCAAATAATTCCTCACCTCTTTTTCCCCTTAACTTTTTTTCACTCAGTTAAGTTTTTAATTAAAATCTTCCACTCTTATCTTTTTCAATTTCTTTTGTTTGTAGTTTTTTTTCATTTTCTAAGCCATCTCTAAAAAGGATTTCTTTAATTTGTTCTCTTTATTTTCTTCCCTCTCTGTCTATTCTAAACTTTTATTCTTTGATTCATGAGCATTAAAATTATTTACATCTTCTTTATTCTCTTTGTATTTCTCGTGCAGTTAAAGTGTTCAAATCGTCAATTTAGAACTCACTCTTGAAGACTTATATGAACTGATGCAAACTGAAGTGAGCAGAACTAGGAAAATGTTGAATACCATAACAGCAATATTGAAATGATGACCAACTGTGAAAGTCTTCACTATTCTGATCAAGACAATGATCCAAGACAATTCCAAAGGGTCCATGATGAACAATGCTATCTACCTCCAGAGGGAGAACTGATGAACTCTAAGTGCAAATTAAAGCATACTTTCTTTCTCTTGGTTTTGTTTTGTGTGTGTGTGTGTGTGTGTGTGTGTGTGTGTGTGTGTGTGTGTGTTTATGTATGTTTTCTTTTGCAACATGGCTAAGGGTAAATTGTTTTCCAGGACTTCACATGTATAACTGATATCACATTGCTTGCCTTTTTTTTTTTTTTTTTTTTGGCTAGGCAATGGAGTTAAGTGACTTGCCCACGGACACACAGCTAGTCTGAGGCCAGATTTGAACTCAGGTCCTCCTGACTCCAGGGCCGGTGCTCTATCCATTGAGCCACCTAGTTGCCCCTTGCCTTCTCAATAGGTGGGGAAGGGGTGGGAGGGAAGGAGACAATTTTGATCTTAAAATTTTTTAAAATGAATATTAAAAAAAATTTCACAAGCAATTGGGAAATATTTAATTAATTTTTCTTTACAACATGACTAATGTGAAAATATGTTTAATAGGAACGTATATGTAGAACCTATATCACATTGCACACCCTCTTGGGGAGGGGGAAGGGGAAGGAGAGGGAGAAAATTCAAAACCCAAAAGCTTGTGGAAGTGAGTGTTGAAAACTAAAATTAAATTAAATAATTAAAAAAAGAATATGTCTCTCTGACCAGAAAAATATTCTTCAGTATGATCCAACCATTCTGGAGAGCAATTTGGAACTATGTCCAAAGGGCTATAAAAATGTGCATACCCTTTGACCCAGCAATACCACTTTAGGGCTGTATCCCAAAGAGATCATAAAAAATGGAAAAGGACCACATGTACAAAAATATTTATGGCAGCTCTTTCTGTGGTGACAAAGAATTGGAAATTGAGGGGCTGCCCATCAATTGGGGAGTGGTTGAAAGAGTTGTGATATATGCATGTAATGGAATACTATTGTCCTATAAGAAACGACGAGCAGGCAGATTTCAGAAAAACCTGGAAAGATTTACATGAACTGATGCTGAGTGAAGTGAGCCGAACCAGGAGAACACTGTACATAGTAACAGTAACAATGTGTGATGACCAACTTTGATGACATAGCTCTTCTCAGCAATACAATGATCTAAGATAATTCCAAAAGACTAATGATAGAAAATGCTATCCACATTCAGAGAAAGAACTATAGAGTCTGAATGTAGATTGAAGCACACTATTTTTACTTTTTTTTTCCTTTCTCATGATTTTCCCCTTTTGTTCCAATTCCTATTTCACAACATGAACAATGTGGAAATATGTTTAACATGATTGTATCTGTATAGCCTGTATCAGATTGCTTGCTGTCTTGGGGAGGGGGAAGGGAGAGAATGAGGGAGAAAAAAATTTGGAACTCAAAATCTTATAAAAGTGAATGTTGAAAACTATCTTTATATGTAATTAGAAAAAATAAAATACTATTAAGTGGGGGAAAAAACAAATACAAAGAGGGAAAAAATTCTAAAAATAAAATAACAAAAATATATTCTTCAGTGACCATCACCAAATCAAGTTTATTGACTGTATTTCTCCCTATTTAAATCCCACCTTTGATACCTCACAGATTATCCTGTAGCCCCTCTGTTTGCTGAGAGACTACAGGAGTTATTTTCCTTTTAATCTTACACTGAATTGATTCACATACATCCCACAATCCTCTCTATTTCCTACCTTCCCTCCTCCACTGATGCACTCTCACACTTTGGAGTGTGGTTCACAAAACATACTAATTCACTTGCAGGGGCTGGAAGATGAGAAGATCTGAAGTTTAGTCCATGGTGAATCAGGTCTCCTCCTCCTTCCCACGTCTTCCATTTCTTTAAGTTACATTTTCATCTTTATCTTTTTACGTACTTGAAGAAGGAAATCTCTTAACTGAAGCTGTTATTATTATTTTTAACCCTTTAGATGTGTTTTTTTTTTCCTTTGTCCTTCTAGTTTTCCCCTGATTAGTTTCTAGAGAAGGGGCAATTTCTTTTGCTATGTGTACTTTCTTTGGTAGTTGTATTTATTAACCTTTCGTGAGTTTATGTTGTCTGAGGTACAGGCATACCTCGTTTCATTGCACTTTGCAGATATTGTGGTTTTTACAGATTAAAGGCATGTGGTAACCCTATTTTAAGATTATGGGCACCATTTTTCCAACAGCACGTGCTTACACTGTATCTTTGTGTCACATTTTGGTAATTCTTGCAATATTTCAAATTTTTTCATAATTATTATTATTTCATTATCATTATTTCACTGATCTATGATCAGTGACCTTTAACACATTATTGTAATTGTTTTGGGGCACCATGAATCACACCTATAAGAGACAGTGAACTTAAACAACAAATGTTGCATGTGTTTGGACTGCTCCACCAAACAGCCATTCCTTGTCTCTTCCCTCTCCTCAGGTCTCCCTACTCCCTGAGACACAACAACATAGAAATCAGGCCAATTAATAACACTACAATGGCCTCTAAGCACTCAAGTGAAAGGAAAAGTCAATCCATGTGACAAACTTCATCACTGTCTTATTTTAAGAAATTGCCACACACTGCCACCCCAAATTGCAGCAACCACCATCATCATCAGTCAGCAGCCACAGATATTGAGGCAAGACCCTTCACCAGCAAAAAGATTACAACTCACTGAAGGCTCAGATGATGGTTTTTAGCAATAAAGTATTTTTTAACATGTTTTTAGACATAACACTATTGCATACTTAAAAAGACTACAGTATAGTGTTAACACAACTTTTACATGCAATGGGAAACCAAAAAATTCATGTGACTCACGTTATTGCAATATTTGCTTTACTGCAGTGGTCTGGAATCGAACTTGTAATATCCTCATCTATGCCTTTATTTCTAAATTGTATAATCTGCTCGTGTCTTGATTTTGCGTGTGGAAATGCTTCAAACACCTCTCTTTTTTATTGAATGTGCATTATTTTAATAGATAAATAGGCTTAGGTTTACAGATGCATCTTGAGCTCCTTTGCTTTTCAAAATATATTATTCCATTCCCTTCTATGGTTTCTAGTGGGTAAAGAATAATCTCGTGTGTCTTCAAATTTCCTTCCCTTTATATTTAAAGGTCTTTGTCTTGGTCCCTTGCCCCTTGCCCTGCCCCTTGGCAACTATCTGTGAGTTTTTAAACTGGGGCACCATTTCCCTATACTCAGAATTTCTGGTTTTCTTTTATTATTTCTTGCATTGTGGTGCTGAAGTTTTTGATTTATCATGCTTTTCAGGGAGGCCAATAATCTCTAAGTTGTTTGTACACACGCTGTCTTCAAGATCAATGTGCTTTACTTGTATAGAGATTATGTGGTTGTTTTTAAACATTACTGCTTTTAGTTTATCTTTTTCTACATTGTTCTTCACTTAAGTTTACTTTTATTTTCAATTCATTTGTTCTCCCTTTGGTTCTTTGGCAAAACTCACAAAGACGGATTCAAGTTTTTCTATTCTGCTATACTCCCAGGCTCACAACCCAGATATCAGCATAGACTGCTCGCTCTCTCTCACCACTCCCTCGCCCCCCACATCCAATCTGCTGCCAGATGCTGCTGATTCTACCACTTGTATCAGACCCCTTCTCTTCTCTGACATTGACACTACTCCAGAGCAGGCCTTCGTCACCTCTAGCACAGACTACTGCCATAGCCTGCGGATTGGTCTCCCTGTCACGGTCTCTCCCCAGTCCAGTACATCCTCCACTTCGCTGTCAAACTGATCTCTCTCAACACAAGTCTGACCATGTCACACACCCTCCACTCAATAAACTCCAGTGGGATATATACTTCAAAAAATTTATAACTGTATTTCAATATAATTGGCTTCCTTTGTAATCCAATGTATTCTTTTATGCATGTATGACCAGTATTGTGAGAAGGGGTCCACAGGTTTCTTTAGACCATTAAAGTAACCATGGAAAAACAGTGAAGAATCTGTGCTTTAAAGGAGGCTAAGAATGAAGGAAGAGGAGGCACAGAGCAGTTTGGTCATAATCCTGCAAGAAGGTGGGTCTATCAGGGGCAGCTAGGTGGCTCAGTGGAAAGAGGTCTGGCCTTGGAGTCAGGAAGACCTGAGTTCAAATCCGGCCTCAGACACTTGACACTTACTAGCTGTGTGACCCTTGGCAAGTCACTTAACCCTGACTGCCTCACCAAAACAACAACAAAAAAAAAAGACTCAAAAAGAAACTGGGTCTGTCAATGGATGCTAAAAAAGGTGGAATATAAAGCAAGCATGATTAAAGGAGTCATTTCTTCACATTTTAAAGGCATTTCTCCCCCACCCATACAATTCTAATCAGACACGGCTAACACAATGATTCTTAAAATGTTGCATAACAGCAGTCTCTAATGAGATCAAAGTGAATCCTATTATCAATTTAATTGTAGAAAGGGTTTTTAATCAGCTACCACTTACCTTTCTGGACTAAGGGGCTCCTCATTTCTTGTCCATCTGATGACAGGTGTAGGAACTCCTGAAGCAACACATGGCAAGACTGCACTTTGCCCAATAACTTTGATTAGTGGTGAAGGCTGGCTCAAAAATACCAAGTTGGATGGAATCTCAGGATCTAAAAAAGTTTCCAAAATAACAGACAATGATTAACAACTAACAATTTAAGACACTTCATTAATAGCTAATTACTGGATTTAGTTCACGGCTTTAAATTATGGGCATTATCACATTAGGCAGCAAGACGGTGTATATGAAAATCTACTTCAACAAATTAATTCAAAAATATTGTCTACTATATGAAAAACACTGTGTGAGTCACAGAGACATAAAGATGTTTAACATACAGCCCTGTTCTTCAAGGAGTGGACAATCTAATGGGAAAGATGTTCATAAAACTAAAATACAACTTTAGAAGTGTTGAATGGTAATAAACAAAGTGTCAAAGGAAGAAACAGGATAACTTGGAACTCAGGTAACTCGTAAGGCCTTCAGGAAAGAGAAAACATTCAAATTGAGCCTTGAAAGGCAGATGGAATTTTGAGGGGAAGGTGGGGGGAATACGATGTCAGGACCTACAATTTTGTTGACAGAAGAACTCCCACCAACTCTGCATCCAGAACTGCTGGATGCTCTAAGAGGCTACAGCTGTCATACAGTGTGATAGTATAGCTTCAGAGGCAGGACATGAACCAGCATCTTACTACGCCTCTGGGCTTGGGGGCAGGAAGTTAGAGGTAACAATTCAGGCAGAAGTAAAAACAGCGCACCAAAGGTATGGCACATACAAACCCATACAAAATGTGTTCAGAAAATGGCCAGCAAAAAGGAAGGGAGGGAGGGAGGGAAGGAGGGAGGAAGGAAGGAAGGAATGGATTAATACTAATACAAAGGTTTGCAAAACATTTTACAAATATTACTTCATATTACCCTCAACAATCATGCGAGGTAGGTACTATTATCTCTATTTTGCAGATCAGGAAACTGAGGCAGATAGAGATTAAATGACTTACCTAGGGTCACACAATTAGTAAGTATCTAAGACTGGATTTGAACACAGATATTTCAGACCTTACATGCAGCAATCTAGTCACTGTACCACCTAGTTGACTACAGACTATTAGACTACAGACTATTCACAGACTATTTAGACTAGCAAAAAGACCAATGTGACTGGAGTATAGGGGTCTTACAAAGAAGTAATGAGAATAAGGCTGGATAATGATAATAAGGCTAGATAGGTAAGTTTGGGGTCAGATTTTAATTGACAAGGAGAACATTAGCAAGCTACTGCAACAATACAAGCATGAAGCAGTAAGAGACCAAAACAAGGTGAGAGCTTCTCTAATTGGAATTAAGGATATAAATTTATTTACTTATGCAAATTTTGAAGCCATGAAGGGCACTGCAATATATGTAATACTGTTTATTTTTAGTATTTTCTATAAACCTAGAGTCACCTGGCTAATTTAGTAATATAAATGTATATTTGAAATATAGGTTTAACTTAGTTTCCCATATACTTATCACATTTGATATATTAGAGATAATAAAGCCCTCCCCAAAAAATTGAAAAAAATTTTTTTAAACTTCCTACCCCCCTCCCCCCACACACACATATATCCCACATATCCTATCTCCCTGAATTTTTGGAAAAAGAAACCAAAAAAGTTCTTAGGAAAACAATTATCCCTCACCACCACTTAATTTTGAACACCAAAAACAGAAAATCTAAATTTAAAATGTAATTGTTTGTTAATGATAGAGGAATCAGAAAGTTAAACTCTTGATAGTTTTAGAGCCAAAAATGATACTTTGATTAAATTGCTTAAAACAAAACAGAACTTTTAGCCAGAAATCAAATGTATGTTCTAATTTATGGTATAAATTTCATATAGATTAGAACCTGGAACTTAATTTTAAATGTGTAAAACAGTACTGAAAGGTTTTATCCTTAAGCATTTATACTTGCAACAAAGCAATAAATAACAAAATAAATTTCACCCTAAACACTTGTGGAATAAGAAAAATATAATTCAGTGGCTAAGAAAGGTCCCATAAAAACACTTAGTATTACCACTAAAAGAAATCAAAATATTCTGGAATAATTAACTGTTATCATTTATAAAACCATCAAATATTTCTTTTCAGTGGGACTAAAGTAATATTCCTGACAAGTATAATGTAAATGGTCATTTGTGATTTTTGTTTCATTAACGAAAGATTTGGTTATCCTGGATGATCTCTAAGATTCCTTCCAGCCACAAAATTTTATAAGGCTATGACCTGCAACTTCTAAATAAAGAATACAATCTGTATATTGAGCAGATTTTAATATTATTAACCTTTTTGCAACTTGTTAACATTCAATCTATTTTAACAATTCTTAATCTAAAGGCTTAAGAAATGTCTTTTCAAGGAAACAAAAGAGGTAAGTCATTTCAAATTTCATATTAGATGCTTTCTCATTACTAATGACCTGAGTTTGGATCTTTTTTGGTTGAACAGTTAGCCATTCAAAAACAACGCAAGTACATTCCCTCCCAAACCACAATGTTTCTTTTCACCTACTTTGGCAGAAAGAAAATGTAGAAGATGGGCCAAGAAATCAGAGTGCATCTTTGTACTCTGCAGGGACACTTGTATGATACAGAGCCTTCTAAATAGAGAATGAAAGAAGAGCAGGGAGAGCAGATGGAAAAGCTCTATCTTTAGAGTTAAACGTTTAGGAGAGAGCCATCAGAGAACACAGGAAAAGATCTTCTGAGTTTTGTAACTGATTCCCAAACAGAACAGTTTTGTCATAGGGTCTGGCCCTTCTGCACACGGGCAGGTTCAAGATTAAGCACAGGTAAGATTTTTCATTCAGAGACAAGTTTTTAAACTCAGACAAAAAATATGCCACAGTCAAGGAAAAGAATGCAGGGAATTTTTTAAGTGCTTAATAAGGACATATTAGATTAAATAAGTGAAAAAGATTCCACCTTTGAAAAAATCTTTATAAATGACCTATTACACTTTGACCACAGTACTTTTTAGCAGTCAATGCTTCTGCCCTGTGGGCCCAGCACTAGGCAAGCTTGGGGGATGATCTGTGTGTGAACAGTGATCCTGGTCAGTTCAGACCGCCTTTGTTCACTTAAATTAAATACCACCTGTGATCATTTCTGATGCTGATAATGAGCTTACAAGCATCCTTCTAGGTGACAATGTAAGTGGGGGATGGAAGGATTATCGGAAGGAAGGAGAGGTGGACGTAGATCAAAAGAAAGTTATTTCAAAAGTGTCACAGTAACTGCTGGCAGAAGGTCAGAAGAACTTTACTAAATTCACATATCGAATCAAAGCACTGTAGTCACATTCACCAACTGTCAAGAGGACAAAACTATTTTACTGGTATGTTCTATGTATCACCCAGTAAATCGAGGGCGCTCAATGATTAACACCCATATTGTAAACAAAATAGAGATGTTTTTAACTGGAAAAGCTTTTAATTATACTTTTTTAAAAAATCATGAGATCACTCATGCATTTTTATTTTCATTCATCTGTTCTCATTCATTCGATATACACTTATTTAATAAGCTCACTATATCAGTTACTGAAGCCAGTGCCGAGGACACAAAAACCTTTTATAAATCTATGAAAACGGGAAGGTGGGGAAGCCTACAAATGAGGATCCTCCACAAAGATAATCTCAGTTCTCCAGGTTCCTGGATCCTGAAATGCAGACTCCCTGAGTGGGAACACTGGTGCAGGGATGCATCAGGAGAGAAGCGAGCATTAAAACAGCCCAAGCATAAAGGTTAATGCTCATTGAACTTCACCATTCATTACTGCTAGACTTACTCAAGGATGCGTCTTTCAAAAGTGTTGCCAATCAAGACTTATTACAATGATGACAAAATGAGTTTTTCCACAGCGGGCCAAACACCAACTTCTAACGAACACACTGACCACTCTATTTAAAAATGACAAGAAGCAGAAATGCATATAACAATTTCATACCTGGAAGAATTTTCAGCTCTGCCTCCTCACTGTACTTAGGCGGTCCACCACTCTCAATTACGCAGCGATAAAGCCCTCCATCTCCTTCCGTAGCATTGCTGATAGCCAGGGCTCCGTTCGGGAGTTTGATGACTCTATCATCCACAACAAGTGGTTGTCGATCCTGCTCCCACCTCACAAATGGGACCAAATCAGCACTGACTTCACAGCTGAGCACTGCACTGTTTCCAGCATAGACTGATGAAGATTCTGGCTGACTGGCAAACCTCGGAAGACCTAAAAGCGATGGGAAGGGAAAGATGAAAATCAGTCATCCATTGCTCAGAATGTAAAGACTCTCATTCCCTGAGTGCTTATACCCTAGAAAGGATTTACTAAAATATCTGGAAAAAGTTAAAATTCATATGAAATATAAAACAGAATTGCTCCATTACAGCAAGTAAGTTAGATGGCAGGGTCCACAGAGAGAGCGAGCCTCAGGAGTTGAAGAACCATGTTTAAGCCCCACCTCTGTCACCTGCTGGTCAGAAGACTCCCCACACAATCATTTAACCTTCTCAGTAGCTCAGGAGACTCTCTAAGTCTTGGCAGGTGACAATCTGTAATGGCACAGGGAGTTTCTTCCACATGTTTATTTGTAGCCAGAGCTTACTCTTCCACCTGCCTCAGTCTCTTTTTCTCTGATGCTAAGATAGACTATTACTGCTATCCCTGGCCCACTTTGGTCCAATCCAGGACTAGAAACTACAGCACTCAGGACATTAAAAAGAGTACAAAAAATATGGAAGGACAAAATGAAGAACATGAGAAGTAAACAGCTGGGTAAGAAGAGAGTACTAGATGGCTATCCAATCCCTCCTAGGACTTCTCTTCACCAAGTTAATCACCTCTAATAAACCTAAAGCATGGGTGATCTAAGGAACAGGGATTTAAAATTAAAATGAATCTACAAAAGGAAAACTTTTCAACAAGAACCGCGAACAACACAAGCACTAAGGAGAGGGTCAATCAACAATCACACTCATGGCCTCAGAGTGTTACAGACAAATGTGTCAAGTGTGGGTAATAAACAAAATGAGCTAAACATCTCAATGGAAAAAGCATTTAAACACAATCTCAGAGGTATAACTGAGAAGTATACAAAAAGACCTGAGGAGTGCAGTTATCGTAATTTTGCAAAATCAAGGCTATAACGGCCTATGAAAAGCTACCGAATGGAGGCAATGCCTGTAAAATGCAAGTAAGTACAGTGGAGAGCATTCACATGAGAATCCTATGATCACTTACCTAGAGCTAGAAGTACTTTCGAAATAAGTCCAACCACTGCATTTTACTGAGGAAGGAGCCTAGCCAGGCACAGAGGTGATGCAGTGACTTGTCTGTGGTCACGTTGCTGCTAAGTATCCGAGGTAGGATGTGAACCCAGATCCTCCTCCCTCCAAGTATCCTGTCCTACCCATTATACCACCGAGCTGGTGGTATAATCAATTATCATCAATTACTTACAACACAGGTAGAAACAGAAGAAACATCATGCCTTCCTACCCACAGGCAGGAAAAGAGGAGCTCCACGAGGAGAACAAAGCTACAGGGCTTGAGGGGCTGGGAGGGAGGACTCTGACATCTGCTTTACATAAAATGTGGCCAAAATGAATTCTTCACTTGGTGGCCGAACCTTCTGATGATGAGTTTTGTTTCCTCTTTCTGGTGGTTCCTCCTATTGGTTCTAATTCTTACTTACATCACCAATGTGAAAATACGTTTAATAGGAATGTATATGTAGAGCCTATATCACATTGTGTATCATCTTGGGGAGGGTGGTGGGGAGGGAAGGGAAGGGAAGAAAAATTTTAAACTCAAAAGCATATGGAAGTGATTGTTGATAAATCAAAATAAATTAAAAAGAAAAGTTGGTGCTAAAATGACAAACACAGTCCATGGTGAGGTCACACTCAAAAGGTTCAAGCGTGGCTGGTGCTCCATTGGTGAGGACTCCTCTGAGCATACAGAGTCACCTTTATTTCATTCTGAGGCACTGCACAAGGACTTTCGTAGCAACAAATAATTTGCACTTGGACAGGAAAACAACAAAAAGAATGTACATAATAACAATTGACATTTTAGAATGCTTTAAGGTCTACAAGTCTACAAACATTTAAGTGCTTACTCTGTGCCAGACCCTGGCACACAAAGTGGTGAGGATAGAAATATAAGCAAAGGGGCAGCGAGGTGGTGCAGTGGATAGAGGACTGGCCCTGAAGTCAGGAGGACCTGAGTTCAAATCCAGCCTCAGACCAAACACTTGACACTTACTAGCTGTGTGACCCTGGGCAAGTCACTTAACCCCAACTGCCTAAGCAAAAGAAAGAAAGAAAGAAAGAAAGAAAGAAAGAAAGAAAGAAAGAAAGAAAGAAAGAAAGAAAGAAAGAAAGAAGGAAAGAAGGAAAGAAAGAAAGAAGGAAAGAAAAAAAGAAAGAAAGAAAGGAAGGAAGAAATACAGTTCCCATCTCCAAGGAGCTTACATTCTAATGGGGAGAGGGCGAGACAACACCTAAAAGGGAGCTCAACAAGAAGGTGAAGTCCAGAGACAAGAACAGAGCTGGGAGAGGAGTGAAGGAGGGAACATGGCTGGCAGGCGCACCTTCTCAAAAATGGAGATTCTAGGAAGAACCCATCAATTAGAGGAGACAGCCACAGGGCAAAGGGTGAGATGGCTGCTAGAATTTGGTGAATTCAATAAACATTTCTTAGTCACCTACTATGTGCCAGGCACTGTGCTATGTTAGAGATAGAAATAAGAAAAGGGGGGGGCAGTTTCTGTGCTCAAGGAGCTTACAATCAAATGGGAGAAGTCAACACAAAAGGAAGCTAAAAAGGGGGGAAGGTGGAACAGCCCTCCCCTAGGAAGGAGGGAGACGGTGTTCCTTCTAGTGGAAACTAAGCAGAGCAGCTGATAGAAAATGGAGCTGCCTGCAAAGTGTTGAGGAGGAAAGTTGAAAGGGAAGAAATAATTGCTCTACCGTCCATCCTCAAATCAGGGGGTAAAGTCTGGAGAGTCAAAAGCAGAGACAGGAATAAAGAGCATTTGAGAAGCATCATACGAAGTTATAAGTGATATCTGCATCAATTTAGTCAGGAATTGCCATATAATATAATGCATATAATATAATGCATATAATGTACATAAGCTGCTTTGTAAAGCATGAAGTTGTATAAATATCAAATATTGTACAGACCAGAAAACTCATACTGGACAAAAATCTCATCAATTAAAAGAATGGAGGAGTTAAAATCCAGCCTCAGACACTTGACATTTACTAGCTGTGTGACCCTGGGCAAGTCACTTAACCCAGACTGCCTCACCAAAAAGCAAAAAAAAAAAAAAAAAAAAGAGAGAATGGAGGCATGATGGATGATGGATGATGCATTGTAAGTGGACCTGTAATTAGTACAAACATTCCAGAAAGCAATTTGGAATGCAACAAACAGCTAAAATGTCCACACCAAAACCAAGATTCTATTCCTGGAGATGTACTCTAGGTAAGTCACTGACCAAAATAAGAACAGCAGCATTTTGTGAACTGGAAACAAAGTGTGTTCATCAATTGAGGAATGGCTAAATATAGAGTGGCACATGAATGTAATCAAATATTACTGTGCCGTAAGAAACAATGTACATGGGAAATACAGAGAAGCAGGAACAAATGCAAACTTAAACAGACAGAGTCAAGAAAACAATACATACAATGACAATAAAGGAAAATGGAAAAACAACCACAAAACAGATAAAAATGAACATTGCAAAAGTACATAGAATAAGTTGTGTCTAACGCAAAGAGATGAGAAAACACCTAACTCATTCCTTTGCAGAGGCAGAGTCTACAAATACGAAACAAAAAAAAATTATTTCAGATTTTTTTCAACGTATTGATAGGCGTTGTTGAATTGTTATCTCATCTTCATCTTTTCCTTTTGTCCTTTTTAAAAAAAAATTCTTTGTAATAAGAGATAGTGAGAAGAGAGGAATACAGGTGAAAATCCAAGCAATGTAACCTAGGCATACCTATATAAAAAAGAATGATGGAAAAGCCCTTCAGATACTCAGTTCTCATCAGACACAGATTTAACAGTAGAGAGTAATTCTGAGAATTTAATAATATGGGGGGGAAGCTTCAGTCAGAATCATCATTAAATAAATATCTGAATGTCAAGGTGTCAAGGTGTCACTTGGGAGGCTGAGAGATAAAAAAGGCTTTCCCCTTTATTTCCCTATTCCCTGAAATATCCATTAACATTCATCAGATGCTAGCAGATTTGCTTAAGTCCCAGTGGGAAGCACACAGGTGTGAGATCTGAAATAACAGCTAAGCACTATGCTTTCTAAAAGACAGACAAAAAAAGGAACACTATTTTAAGTTTTTTTCTATTTCCTGACAATCTTTACATGATCAAGGCTCTTCACAATCTCTTCCCTCCTTTGGACACTCTTCAGATGATCAATGTCCTTCTTAAAGAGAGTGCCCAGAACTGAACACAATACCCCAGGTGAGGTCTGATGTGGGCAGAGAATAGTGGAACTATCATCTCCTTATTCCTGAAAGATCTACCTCTCAATACAGCCCCAGACTGCATTAGCTTTTTTGGTGCTACATCAAACTGCTGTTTCACATTAAGCTTGCTGTCCATTAACCCACCCCCCCCAGATCCTTTTCAGAACAGTTGTCTATCTATGACTGCTCCATCTTATATTTATGAAGTTGGTATTTTTTGTATCTAATTATAAGACTTTACATTTATCTTAACTGAAATTAATTTTATCAGTTTTAACCCAATACTTTGGCCTTTCAGATCCTTATACTCAGGGTAGTTATTCCTTTCCACTTTGTCATCTGCAAATCTGATGAATATATCTATATATCTAAATCATTAATAAAAATGTTAAACAGCACAGGACCTGCCACAAATCCCTGGGGTATTCCACTGAATCTCCTGACATGTTAACTTTGAATCATTAAAAACTACTCTGAATCCAACTATCCAACTAGATCTGAATCTAATTATGTTATTGTCTAATCCATATTTCTTCATAATTGCAACAAAAATAGTAGAGATACTTTATCAAAAGCATTGCTAAAATCTAGGTAAAATATGCCCACAGTACTTCCTCATTAACAGTTGAGATTAATGAGAATAATCAGAAAAACCAATAAAGGTACAAACATCATACAGAGTAGCATGATTTTTTAAAGAAGCTTGACTGATCTAAACTGAACACC